TTCCAGATGACTTGATGGCTATTCTACAGTGTGGAGGATTATGAATGTGTCTACTCATACATACATAATGAAATCATATGAAATGAGAAATGCTTGATTTGAAACCAATACGCGCACTCTCTCTTTTATCATAAATAAATGAAACATAAATTGAACGTGTAAGATTTTATATTACAGTAATTTGCTAATAAAAAATGTCATCTTACGTATATTATATTGTATACAGTTTACTCTGTTTTCACAGAGAAATTTCAACTAATTTATTTGTATATGTAATGCAATTATACTTAATTTCAAAGAAACAGGTTAAATTCCTTTGAGTATGAGGGTATTCTTTTCAGGGGAAATGTTATCTAAGATATTCTTCCATCTTACCATAAAAATATTGAAAAAAGCTCATAAATTTTTCATCTTTCTCTGGCAGAAGTCAATGAACTTTCTCTTCCACATTATGAAGTGAGTGTGCATACTTGTGGCTCTCGATCAACAGACATTTTTTTGTATACTTTGCACATGTCATTCCCACATGACTCTTCTTGACTTAACTACACAAGCAACAGGTGTGGGAGCTATGTACACAATCATCTATTCATGTGCAGTATGGTACTGACATGGGCGAAGGGCGAAGGGGGAAGGGGGAAGGGGGGAATTAGAATATACATGTATTACTGTACAAACTCGTGACCACAACAGGTTTCATCCATCAGGCAAAATCCCACTCTTTTTGAGAATTTCTCTCATTTTTCTCGAACAAGTTACCCCTTAAAAAAATTTAACCTGCTCTAACATTCGCCCTAAACAGTGTCTACCCTGTGATGTTTATTTTTATGTCTCTTTCTTTTTGTTATCAGAACAGATTTGTGCAATACGAGGCTGAACAAAGTCCGGGCTAAGGATACTGAAAAAGGTACCTTAAATGTGTTTCAAGAAACTCAACCAAAATACCCTTTCCTTGTTTTTTTGCCTACTTGACTCCCTTAAATGCATCACATACTTTAACCAGCAAAAAAACTACTCTTTTTACATGATTTCTTGGTTGTGCGTGTGTCTAGCAATATAAATTCGATTTACAGGGAAAACTCTATACATTACTGTCATCGTCACTCTTAAAATTCATGGGTGCATATCTCTTGTAATTGAGAGATTATTAGATCCAATGTGATAAGACACACCGGATCACGCAAAGGGGTCGACATCAAACCGATTTGGCACCTGCATGAAAACGTAGTGATTTCACCTGTCGTGCAATGATCATCTAAGTAGAAAAACTCTTCAAGTATGCTGAATTATAACATCCCCCTTTTTGTTTTACTTCAAACGAAAGCGGGATTCAAACCAGGACTGTGTTAAGAGCAGATTTGATTGGCAGGTAGAGGTGTCAAGGTAAGTGGTTTAAAAACTTGACCAGCAATGCAAAGTTTGGGGTTCCATACCCGGCATGATACTTATCCCAATAAGCAATTTTTTTTTTTTTCTACACTGCTTCTATCCACTTAAGTGTTAAATGGGTATCCAATAGGATGCAAAGTCATTGTAGTTTTTCTCGGTATCTCTAAAATGATGCCTAGCTGGAATCCTCTCCAGGGAGTGGAGAATGTGCAAACATTGTGTGCAGAAACCCTAATAAAGCGCTCTGGTATTTTAAAGGAATTTCGTCTTACCGAATACCAGTTTACATCACCTGGGTAAAGAGTTTCTAATATAGATTAATGTATCACAAGAGAACATTAGTGCTGTGGTGGGACTTGAACTGTGAACCATATCATATACAGTCTAGTGACATATCCACTAGACCATATCACCTCTACATTGATTTGATGAAATAATTGCAGTAAAGCATTATGTTCAAGAACCTTCTTACGGTTTTTTCTCATTACACTTGAGTACATGAATCCATGGTGACTTAATGACAAATGATTCTAATCTTACCTTTTATAAACAGATTGATATCATCGTTTATCATGATACATATGTATATGGTTGCTTTGAGGCAAACAAATTAAATCTTATGCTTTGCGAAAACCGTTTGATAGCAATGTTTCAGAGAAGAAGGGTTTAGACCAAAACCACTTGATCTAAATCTCTTTAGAATACTGCCAAACAGGTGATTAAAATGCAACTATAGTGACCACAATAAAGAGAATATCTGAGGAAAAGTTTGTCCTATTTGCCTACTGTCCTGCTTTCACCCTGATTGTTACATTCTAAATATAATAAGAATTCAAAATATGCAGTGAATGATGAAAAAAATATCAAGGTATACATCAGTGATTTTATTGAGTTTCTAAAGAATGATTTGATGCTTACCAATAAAATCAATACAAGGGATTTCTAAGACACAAGAAATACATGATGTTCTTGACTACATCCAGGTGCTCTCATACGTCAAACGATTTAAGTAAATTGATCAGTTAATTTGAAGAAAAAAAGAAATATCAGTACTTACTTTAAAAAAAAAATCATATTAAGAAAACAATGTCTTCCTTCGCATACCATCACTTTTAACATTTTGATCTCATGGCATATTTCAGATTATTTGTAATTTTGAGTATGCTAACCACATTTTTTTTTTGCAGGCCTTTTAATTCAAACCCCTATGCAAGCTCTAGCTAGCTCGCTCTCTCTCTCTCTCTCTCTCTCTCTCTCTCTCTTTCTATATATCTGTCTATCTGTAAGTGTGTCTGTTTCCCTCTACCTCCCACTTTCTCTCTTTCTCTTGCTCGCGCTCTCTCTCTCCCTCTCTCTCTCTCTCTCATTTCCTATCCTCCATGTTTCTATCTGTCTTTCTCTCTTCATCCATTGTCTATGTTTATATCTCCCTTTATCATGAAATCAAAAGATGGAGAGGCGAAAAATGAACAAATAATACAAATCTGTCTGGTGTCTAGAAAAAAAGGGTACTCTTATGAAAACATACATTCAGGGCTTTCAGTGCACCTTAAATAGTAGAGGATATCCAAATTTCAACTTGAATGCATGGCACACCTGCAGTTTTGTTTTTAGACGGAAGTTCTTATATCTACAGGAGACAAATTCCTTGCCCTCCCCATCGTCAAAGATCAACAGATGGGAAGCAAATACAAAGAACCACTGAAGCCTTTTCACACACCATGCAATAGAGAGCCTTAGAGAAACTATCAGGGCAAAAGAATGTTCTTGTACATGTATAATTAATGAATCAAAGGTCTACGGGAGATGAGCTCCCTTATTCTTCCTACTTTTAAAGATCAAACGATGAGAAGCAAATACAAAGGACCTCAGAAGCCCTTTCACATACCAAAATGATAAAGTGCCTGAGAGGAATAACTGTCGCAGCAATAGAATGTTTATACACATCATGACTGAATCACAGGCCTACAGGAGATGAACTCCCGTATTCTTCCCATCTTCAAATATCAAAAGATGGGAAGCCAAAGTGAGGGACCTCTGGTGCCCAGTCACATACCGAGCAATAAAGTGCCTGAGAGAAACTGTCGCAGCAAAAGAATGTTTGTGCACATGATGAATGAATCGCAGATCTACAGGAGATGAACTTCCTTTTCCACCCCCATCTTCAAAGATTAACAGATGAGAAGCAAAACAAAGGACCTCACAGAACCATTTACACACTAAGCAATATAAAAATGAATGAATCGCAGGTGGGGTTCAAAAAACCTTTTTAGGTGAACACAAAAAAAGTCCCTATGCATCTTTATTCATCCGCAATGTCCACTACTTCTACGTCTATTACTTCTATGTCTACTTTTATGTCCAGTACTTCTATGTCTAGTACTTCAAATTTGCTACTTCTACATCTACTTTTATGTCTGCTATTTCGATGTCCACTATTTCGAAGTCTTCTACGTCTACTACTTCTACATCTACTACTTCTACATCTACTTCTGCTACATCCACTACTTCTACGTCTACTACTTCTACATCTACTACATCTACTACTTCTACATCTACTACTTCTACATCTACTACTTCTACGTCTACTACTTCTACGTCTACCACTTCTATGTCTACTACTTCTACATCTACTACTTCTACATCTACTACTTCTACGTCTACTTCTGCTACATCCACTACTTCTACGTCTACTACTTCTACATCTACTACTTCTACGTTTACTACTTCTACGTTTACTACTTCTACATCTACTACTTCTACGTCTACTACTTCTACATCTACTACTTCTACGTTTACTACTTCTACGTCTACTACTTCTACGTCTACTACTTGTATGTCCACTCATTCTACGTCTACTACTTCTTCGTCTACTACTTCTACATCTACTACTTCTACATCTACTACTTCTACGTTTACTACTTCTACGTTTACTACTTCTACATCTACTACTTTTACGTCTTCTGCTTCTACATCTACCACTTCTACGTCTACTTCTTCTATATCTACTACTTCTACGTCTACTACTTCTACGTCTACTACTTCTACGTCTACTACTTCTACGTCTACTACTTCTACTACTACTTCTACATCTACTACTTCTACATCTACTACTTCTACGTCTACTACTTCTACTACTACTTCTACATCTACTACTTCTACGTCTACTACTTCTACTACTACTTCTACGTCTACTACTTCTACGTCCACTACTTCTACTTCCTCACATACTGCTACAAAAAAAGTGTAAAACAAGAATGATATCAAATAATTTCAGGTTATAAGAATGTTGTACAAGTAGCAAGTACGTGCAAGGGTCAACACATAGTATTACTTCTTGCTTAAAACAACATAACATTATGTATTAGCGACAAAAAATTTAGGTTAGAAGAGAAGTGAAATCAAATTCTTCTTCCGATAGAATAGTCATGTCAAACCGTTCAATCAATAACTTAATTTAGCAGTAAAATAAGTTATAAAACAGGAAAGCAATACAAACACCTGCAATAAAAAGAGAACATATATATATATGAAGCAAATTCTGCAATAGCATAAATTCATCAATTATTCCATAAGTGAAGATGATTGAAGAGCAATCTCACTCTACTTACGATATCGCTTCTATCATGTCCAATCCCATCTCTACACAGCAGTGTCCATGGTCAGGCCTTGGGTCAGGTAACCCTGAAACGCAGTAGTAACAGTCACCCAGGATCTTGATTCTCAAACAATGATTTTCCTGAAGGAAAGAAAAGATGGTAGGAAGGATTACGATTAATCCAAAAATAAGCATGTTTTAAATGACTCTGCAATGATATTTCAGTAATGAATCAAGCCTTATTAAAGTAGTAGAGGTATTTACAAGTTCTATTTTTAATAGCACGGTCCTAAGTTCCCTACGTCCAATAGAATCATGACTTTCACTAATTATGCATTTTGCACTCTGGAATAGTCTTTTTGTTCCACTAAATTTTGCCGACCTACAAAAATCATAGGCTGAAAGCCCATTAGATGAGACTGACAGTCCAAGCGGCCGACAATCCATGAGACCGTTCTTGTGCAGGTTTTCAGAGAATTTTCTTTGGGCTCATAAAAGTGAAGTTGAAACCTTGTGGGCTACTGTTCTACTGAGGTATCCTGAAATAATGACGTAATTGGAGAACCAATTTTAGAAGAAAATTCCAAAATGGAAAAGTAAATGTTGAATTTTAATTATAATTTCAAATGAATTTTATTTTTAGCGTCTGCAACAAAGTTAGATATCAATTTTTTTTTCCTGTGGGCCAGAAGGACATTAATACAGAGAGTTGTCCTTTCTGGCTCTAAAAAGATTACTTGATAAATTATAAGTAATTAAAAGGTCAACAATTTATGGGGACATTCTTTAAGAATTGAAAATATACCGGTAAATGAATAATCAAAATGGCATTGATAGCACCATAACTAGAGAAAGAATGTTAAAAGCAATTCCAAATCTCAACTGTCCTATTAATAACCTTCCTTTTGAAACATCTTATAATGATTTTGCTACATATGTTCCAAAATTAATATCAAATTTACAAGGGAGAGAAAGAATACATGACAACACAGCCCTAGTCAATCATAATTTTACAATATCAGGACAATCAACGGTTCAATAGGATTTTATCAATCGATTTCCAGAACAAATACAATCATTCCTATTGCCAATATGCAACAGGTGCGTACAATTTCTTTCTTTCTTTCTGTTAAATGCAGGAATCCTGAAAATGGGTCAACCAGAATTCAATTGCCCTTTCAACGAAGAATTCCAAGTAGAATGTGTGCTTGTCTACACAGTATACCTTAAAGACAGGTGCAACTGTGTGCGTTCGTTGATGTATGGTGAGTATACATACATAACAGGTGCGTTTGAAAGGTGTGTGCATTGCCTGTGTATCAAAGAGAATGATGCACTCAGCACTTTCCGACATGAAATATCAATATTTGAAATTGATTGCGGGCACATGATTTTAAAGATACGATCACAGTGATCATTCATGTCACCTAAATTTCAATACCTAATCATACTCATGGGTTAGGAGCAAGAAAGGCACTGTCTTTGTATTAGAGTATATATGAGCTAGGCCCTTCGATCTGGCTCCACACAGACAATATATCAACAAAAAAGCTAGTCTTTCTTATTGAATTTAAATTAAATGTAACAAAGTGCTTTGTTTTAGGCTTAATAATGTCAGATAATGATTTAAAACATGTCTCAACTGAGTGGTTTTTAAACTTGGTTGGCAATGCAAGGCTTAAATTTGACAACTATAGACTTTAACTTCTAGAATAAGTAAAGCCTGAAATAATGAACTCATGCTGGAATCTACAAAAAGTGCATGATTAATTAAAATCAAAACGTGTCAGCAAGATTAATATTGTCGCCGCAGTAATGTCCTTTCGCAAGACAATAACCTATATTTGCCACTTTTCGCCCAGGTGAGGGAAAAAAAAAAACCTGGCAAAAATTATGAACTTAAAATGCTTGAGCATTGTAATGACAGCCGTGCCAAAGCCAGGGGGCAATGATAATGTAGCGCAAGGAGCGGCAATATGCCGGACATTAGTTAAAACAGAACTCCACTATTGTTATTTTTGTTGTTGTATTGATTGGTATTATTATTATCATTATCATTATTGATATTATAATAACTGTCATTATTTATTATAATCGTTGTCATTGTTGTTGTTGTTATAATTGTCATTATTGTCATTATTATTATTATTATCATTATCACAATAAATGATATTGACGGGGATGCCAATTTCGTATAAGTAAGAGAGCTTCCCCTTATAACACTTATGAAATGACAATGACAGAAAAATACACAGATCTGGTTAAACAATAATCTTAAGAGTCTCATTGAGTCAATTTACAGCTACTGGCAATCTCTGCACAAGCTAGTTGTCATCAATACACCCAACAATTTCCCTCTCCTTCGTGCCAATTTACAGAACACTTGCTGCATTTCTTTGTGACAAATGCTTACTCGATACAAAACAACTTCAAGAGCACGTCTTAAGGATTCATCCTGACACGGAGCAATTGAATCCGTGATTTATACGACATTTATACATCTCTGTGCCATCAATATTCCTCAGTCTGAAAATTTTGTCACATTGCAAAAACACGCAAGAATGACGTTTACTTTGCGGACATTTGTTTCTTCCTCGTCTCTTCCGGAAAGTCAACGCCGAGGTCAAAGGGCAGTCCCTACTGATAGACTCCACTTAAGGCTCCTTCGCATGACATGGTAAAATGTGGCAAGTTTATTTTCTTCTTTATGTACATGAGTAAATAGCAAGAGGGGATGAAAAAAATGTAGCTGCACACTACAAAGGTCCTATACACTTACTAATCTGTGTTTTACAAGATGAAAAAATGTAAAGTACGGAATTATTATTATTATGACGTACATTGAAGCAGGAATTCTTTACATAAAATGGCAACTAGCGATTATAAAATATAGCTGCGCACAACAGAGATCCAATTCTTACTTATCTGTATGTTATAAGATGAAGAAGCATAAAGTACACTATGATTATTATGATAACGTAAATCGCAGTGGGTATTCTTTTACGTAAAATGGCAAATGGTGATGATAAAATGTAGCCGTGCACAACAAAATTCTTACACTTACCAATTCTCTGTCTGTTATGAGATGTGGAAATGTAAAGAGCACTATGCTTATTTTGCCCTGGTGGCATATTGTCTTGCTGCTGGCAGATCGTCGTTATCATGCATGCACGACATAGAGCAAATATCTAAAAACTTATTTAGAAGGTTTAGATTCCTCCAGATATATTTTTCCCACTCAGGAAAAGAAAACAATGACAAGGATTTCTCTCATAATCAAGAGGTAATGGATTAAAACTACTATTATTTTTGAACTTGTGGGTATTTATATGCATAACATACTTCTGCTCATCTGTATTTGCAAAGCGCTTCACACTACGTTTCTATTTGGGGTGCTTTACACTGTAATTAGTACTCTTGTGAGTCCGGTCGAATCTGCACATTAAAGTGCACATGCTCTGCTCCCTGGGGAGTGTTCTGGCCAGGTGCCCTTTTGCAAGCAAACACAAACTAAATTAATGTTTGCATTTTTAAACACCTGGGTGGAAAGTGGCTGATGTAGATGTCTTGCCAAAGGACATTATTGCAATGCATGGCGGGACTCGAACCACAAACCATGTTATCTATGACACCACAACGGTGCTATGCCTATGCCCTGATCCATGACACCACAACGGTGCAATGCCTATGCCCTGATCCATGACACCACAACGGTGCAATACTTATGCCCTGATCCATGACACCACCACGGTGCAATGCCTATGCCCTGATCCATGACACCACCACGGTGCAGTGCCTATGCCCTGATCCATGACACCACCACGGTGCAATGCCTATGCCCTGATCCATGACACCACCACGGTGCAATGCCTATGCCCTGATCCATGACACCACCACGGTGCAGTGCCTATGCCCTGATCCATGACACCACCACGGTGCAATGCCTATGCCCTGATCCATGACACCACCACGGTGCAATGCCTATGCCCTATATACTGCGAGCCGCACGACAACATGTGAACGTGGCGATGGGACCTCTGGTGAAAATATTTTGTTTTCTAATCACATCAAAGATGGTTAAAAGGGCATGATGACTATGCCCCCTTTAATTCAATGGTGCACCATTGGCACAATGTGCGCCTCATTAGGGATGCGTGAAGAAGGAAAGGTTTTAATGTACACAAGGGAATCTCTGTGGATAAAAGTCAGCTAGCCCTCTAGGCTAGTAACCTCATAGTCCGAGATGTTAAGAAGTGGGTGGGTGGGTGAGGGAAGGAGATGGAGGGATAGGGAGAGAGGGAGAGAGGGGAGATGGGGTGGAGAGAGGGGTGATGGGGTGGAGAGGAGAGATGGAGTGGAGAGGAGAAAAGAGAGAGAGAGAGGGGGGGGGGTAGAGGGGGAGAGAGAGAGAGAGAGAGAGAGAGAGAGAGAGGGGGGGATATGGAGAGAGGGAGAGAGAGAGTGGGATATGGAGAGAGGGATAGGGAGAGGGGGCAGGGAGAGGGGGACAGGGAGAGAGGGTGAGAGGGGAGAGATGGGGTGGAGAGGAGAGAAAGAGAAAGAGAGAGAGAGGAGAAAGAGAGAGAGGAGAAAGAGGGCTATGGAGAGAGGGATAGAGAGAGAGGGATAGGGAGAGAGGGTGAGAGGGGGAGAGATGGGGTGGAGAGGAGAGATAGAGAAAGAGAGAGAGAGAAAGAAGGAGAAGGGGGGATATGGAGAGAGGGAGAGAGAGGGGGTGAGAGAGGGAGGGATGGGGTGTAGAGGAGAGAAAGAGAGAGAGAGAGAGAGAGAGAGAGAGGGGGGAATGGCACAGAAAAGAAGACAGATTGGTGGATTGAGAGACAGAAACTGAGACACAAAAACATGAATCAAGAAAGAGACTGTGTTAAAGACAGCCTACAGTGACACATTTTCATAAGGGGGAGAGAAAAAGAGGGAGAGAGAGAGAGAGAGCAGGGAAAAGAGAGAGGGGGAGCAGGTGGGTGGAGAAGGGGGTCGGGGAGGTAGAGGGATAAGAATAGTAACGAGCTATATAAAGATGTACAGAGATAGAGAGAAAATAATATATACAGAAATAGAAACAGAGAAAGAGAGAGGGAGAGAAAGAGAGACAGTGACAGAGACAGAAAGAGAGAGACAGA